GGGGGTCATGATAGTGTGGGCCACATCAGCATTACTTGGCTTTGTAGTTTGGACTCTGGTAGGTAAAATGGAACCATTGGAGTATTTTTGTTTGCTGTGTCTCATTATCATCATATATTTTTTTCTTTTTACAGTGTAGATAGTATAAATCAGAGATTTACTTTAGACAAACTGATTCACATATAAACTGAAAATTTTAAATATGGATTTGGAAACCAGAACATGAGGTTAAAAATATCCAGGTTCAATTCCTGGCTCTACCACTTATGAACTTAGGGAGCCTATAATTTCATCTATAGAGCAAAAATAACAACAGTTGCTGTCTCAAAAAAATAGAATATTTAAATAAAATAATGTTAAGTATCTGAATCACTCAGTAAATAACAGTTCGAATATGCTACTATTCAAAATAATGATGAAGATAAAGCGAAGAGGGTGGAAAGGAGAGGAAGAACAAGAAAGAGGAGGAACCAGGAGAAGAAGTAGAAGCCAGGAAACTACTTAAGAAATTACATGAACACCCTGGATGAGAGGTGATGAGGGAGTGAAATACAAGTGTCAGTTGAGAAAGTTCCCTTAATAATACTTCCCTTAACAAACAGTGCGTTGTGGATATATTTTCTATCATATTTTTTAAAACATTTTTGTTAAGTTATCTTATATTTTCAATCTCTAATAACTACCAATCAGTATCTTTCCTATACACCTACTAACTCCATATATATATATACATGCACACACACATATATATACACATATATGTGTATTACATATATTACATTACATATATGTATAAATATATATACATTACATATATACACACACACATATATACAGACATATATATATGGATGTAAATGAATATATATATCTCTATATACATGTATACATATACACAATATGTGTATATGTACATATAAACATCTATGTATATCAATAAAGGTTTTTCTTGTGTGCTGTAAAGTGTTGCTTCAATCGTCATGTCTTACTCAAGCCCAGTTCCCACTCTCCCAGCCTCCTTGAGTGGCCCTACCTTAAGTGGTATCCAACCCCCCAATCCCCCATTTCTTCTTTAGAAACAGAGAAGAGCCTGCACACTTCAGCTTCCCCTTGGAGAGAAACACTTTCCCATCTGAAAAGGAAGAAGTGGGAGTGATGTCAGCATCATGGCAGAGTGAGCTCTTCCCTTAGACTCTCCCCTCTAAGATACAACGAAAAGGACATTCAGAAACCAATAGAGGACATTCACACAACACAAAAGACGCTTGAGAGACCCAGGTAGCAATATGTCTGAAGGTGAAGGTGCTAGACCCCCTGGGAGGAAGTGGAAGGAGGTAAGGGGATCTCCTCTCTGTCCCCGGCAGTGACCCAGGAAATGGGACCACGCCTAGCTCTGAGAAAAGAGGGAGGAGGGGCAGCTCTCCAGGGGAATGCTTTGCTCTCCAAGTTCCCTCACAGCCTGTGGGAAAGCTCCATGCAGAGGAGGCTAATCTATTGCAGGGGTGTCTTCATCAAGCCAGCACCCCAGAAGAGCAGATAGGGAGGGCAGAGCAAGAACACCGCCGAGATTGCAGATGTGAAAGAAAGTGCCCCTCCTCCCATCTGGCGCTCCAGCTCAGCCAGTCGGCCAGAGCACCAATGCATACATTAGAAAAGCAGCAGCTGTGCGTGAGTGAGCTGGCAATCGCAGATGGGTCCTGTCAGCATAGATTCCAAAGGATAGGCACAGACACCAGAGGTCATGGTGGGCTCAGAATACACAGCTCTTGACTCCCCCCCTCCAGCAGTGGCAGGTAGAAGCTGCAACCACATACTCTCACTATGCGAAGGCACAAATCCACACCATCAAATAGTATGAAGAAATATATTAATACTCTAGACCAGAAGGAAAATGACAAGCACCCAGAAATCAATCCTGAAGGCACAGTAATTTATAATCTAAATGACAGAGAATTCAAAATAGCTATCATAAAAAAAACTCAACAAGTTACAAGAAAATACAGATAGACGGTTCAATGAAACGAGGAACAAAATTAATGAACAGATGGAATTCTTCACAAAAGAGATTGAAACTATAAAGAAAAATCAATCAGAAATGATGGAGATGAAAAACACAATGGATAAAATAAAGAAAAACTAGAGTCCCTGAATAACAGAGCTGACATTATGGAGGACAGAATTAGCAATCTAGAGGACAGAAATATAGAAATGCTTCAGGTGGAGGAGAGAGAGAACTAAGACTAAAAAGAAATGAAGAAATTCTCCAAGAAATATCTGACTCAATTAGGAAATGTGACATAAGGATTATAGGTATTCTAGAGGGAGAAGAGGGGGAGAAAGGAGCAGAGAGCTTGTTCAAGGAAATAATAGCTGAGAACTTCCCAAACCTGGGGAAGGAGCCAGATTTATGAGTAAAAGAACCTAATAGAACTCCTAATTATATCACTGTAAAAAGACCTTCTCCAGGGCATATAGTAGTAAAACTGGCAAAGGTCAATGAGAAAGAAAAAATATTAAGGGCAGCAAGGCAGAAGAAAATAACTTACAAAGGAACCCCTATCAGGCTTTTAGCAGATTTCTCAGCAGAAACCTTACAGGCTAAGAGAGCGTGGAATGATATATTCAAAATTCTGAAAGACAGAAACTTTCAGCCAAGAAAATTCTATCCAGCAAAAATATCCTTCAGATATGATGGAGAAATAAAAACTTTCCCATATAAACAAAAGCTAAGGGAGTTCATCACCCCCTGCAAGAAATGATCAAGAAGGCTTTCATACCTGAAAAAAAAAGAAAGGGTTTACAAAGCCCTGAGCAAGGAGATAAATAGGCAGACAAAATCAGAAAATTGCTGCTGTCTATCACAACAGGTTAGCAAACACTTAATTAGAACATTAAAAATAAAGAGAAGGAAAACATCAAAAATAACGATGATCTCATCATTTTAACCACAATCTCACAAGACAAGATGGAATAAGTTGTGACAACAATATCTTAGAAGGGGAAGAGTAAGGGGATGGAATCAGCTTAGACTAATGAAAAGGAAGAAGCAAAGAAGAAAGTTTATTAAGAAGTTGCCCATTCTTTCCCAAGAAAAGACAAGTAATGATCTATATGATCCAACTCTAATTCAGGAGCTTCTACATTTTCAAATACAGGGCTTAATAAAGACTCATTTAAACAGACACATTTTAATCCTATTTATATACTTTAAGCAATTGTTTTGCCATCCAACCACACAGTGAGGTTATGTTCGTATATCTTCTAATACAGAGAATCATCACATTATAAATGTTAAAGGATCAAACATCAACATTATTTTAATATTTCAAGTGGATTGACCTCAATTTTGAGTAAAAGGATTAGTGTTTTAGAATATAGACTCTTGCTTTGCAATAAGTGAGTTTCCAGGCAGGTTATGCTCCTGTGTAATCAAGAGATACAAAATTCTAGGAGATATACAGAAACGGTTGGGAGTAAGACTCTCTGGGCCCAGTTCCTATCATTACCAGCAGTTCAGATTGCCACATACAACTAGACGACCAGATTACAAAATACAGGTGCTCAGAAAACCAATCCATATTTCTCAAATTTCATAAAGTCCTCAACATGATACTTTAAAAAGCCAGCAATTACCAGCCAAGATGTCAACCTCATCCATGAACTGGATACTGAAGAGGATCACACAGTCTATTTTCTGCTCCTTCAGGAGGCTCCAAACTTGGTGTCTTGAAAAGGGATCCAATCCAGCAGTTGGTTCATCCAATAGGAAAATCTACAGAGGGATGTATATAAAGGGGTTTTCCTGTAAGGTGCAGTTCTTCCAGAAAACACATAGAAACAATATTATTTATAGTTAAAAGGATATTGTGGTTAGGATTTTGTTCTTATATTTAACGTTCGATCGTAAATATTTTATCACAGATATCCTTTGCAAATGAAAGGTTTGAACTACTACCAAAAGCTTCATTTTTAAAAATTTTAATTCATCTATACATTTAGTCTGACTTACGTGAGGATCTCCTAAAATGGCAATTCCAAAGGTTAGTTTTCCTTTCTGTCCACCACTTAAGTTTTGAACAAGGATGTCCTGAATTTTTTGCATTTCCAATTCCAGAAAAACTCTTTGGATCTAATCAAATGACATTTATTTCACAAATCAAGATTTATTTCTTCTCTTATTTTTAAATTTGTAAATACAAAGTTATAAAGTGTAGCGGTTAAAAGCCTGGATACTGAGCCAGACTGCCTGGATTTGAATACTACTCCATGTTAACTAGCTGCATAATCTTGGTCAAGTTACTTGCTGTCTTGAACCTTGGTTTCCATATGTGTGAAGGGGGCATAATAACAGTGCCAACCTCATAGGGTTGTTGTGAGGAAGTGAATTATTACATTTAAAGTTAAGGATAATGCTCGGCACACTGTAAGTTATACATAAATGCTAGATATTATCTAAATTAGATTTTTTTGTCCAACGTTTATACGATTTGCACAAAAATAATGTAATGAAAGCAAAAAAACTCAGTGCAAATAGAATTAACAATCTCATTTTGACCAATATGGTAGTTCTAAAATATTTATTTACCTCTTTATCCATTTCATGTGGCTGAATCCCTTTTATTTTAGCAAACAGCCTGAGATTTCCTCTCATGGTGAGGAAGTCAAAATGCACATTGGATTGTGGACAAACTCCAGTGAGCTTGCTGATATTTTCTAGGTCAGCCGTTTCTGAAAGTTTATTATTATAGATGGTGACTGAACCTATAACAAAGAATAAGAGTTAATATCAGGATAATGCTTAAATTAAGATCTTTCTAAAAGAAAAATCACTATATATTTATTAATTACATTTTAGATATATGATTTTGTCTTCAAGGTTTATACAATTCAGGCATTATGAGCTTCCATTTTAGTTGTGCGGTGTATTAAAAAAGAAATAAAATCCTATCTACAGCTTTCGTATTGAGATGTAGTCTATTTATTTATCCACCCCTCACATTTTGGCTTGGCTATTTAAGATATGAAATCTTAGCAAATGTGATACAAGCAGAGGCCATGAAGTGTCTCCACACTGGAATTTGCCTTCTCTTTGCTTCTGGGATCATGGAGACCACTGGCTGATGAATCACAGACTAGCCTCCTGGAATACCAAAGTCCATGTAGAAAGAGAGGGGCAGCAGTTCTAACTGAAGCCCCATATATGGGAGTGAAGCTATGCTAAAACATCCAGCCCCAGTCCCTGCAGTCCAGACAGAAAAACTGCCAGTCAACCCACAGAATCATGAGAAATAATAAAACATTTTAATTTTAAGCCATTAATTTTAGGGATGCTTGTCATGCAGCCAAAGCTAACAGATACAAGTTGCAATGCCAAATGGTAACTAATGACCATGAAGATAATGATCATGAAATACTCAAATTCCATATATACGAATTAAATATTACATACATCTATAGAATAAAACTATAAATTAACTTCCATTTTTCCCTAGTTATCTGTATTTGTTATTAATGATCAGGAGGACTTTATATTAACAGCTGATTTATTTGTCAACTTGACTTTGGAAAAAATCTCTTACTTTTGGTGGGAACAGATAACCCACTGAGAATGTTTAACAGTGTTGATTTTCCAGCTCCACTGTGACCAAGTATTGCAGTGATTTGGCCTTCATATACATCAAATACCAGATCCAGGAAGAAAAAAGGAAAAAAAGAAAAAAAGAAGAAGAGTGGGAGGAAGGAAAAACGGAAAAGAGGTAGGGAGGTAGGAAGGAAAACAACTAAAACTACAAATAAAATTTTATTATGGAGCTGATGAATTGTCTTTTTTGTTTCCTTGAATGGCCATATTTTCTAAATATGAATATACTGGGTTGTTAAAGTCAAAATAAAAATAATAAAACACCCTTTTATAAATTTATATGTCTATCCTGTTTTGAAATTTTGAAATTACTTGGTTTAAAGGCAAGAAACATGTCTTATTATCCTAGGTTCATTGACATGCCTGGCATATGGTAGGTGGATGTTAATATTCACTGCTTGGAAGGATAGATTAATAGTCTAGTAAATATTATGTGGCTAAAAATCCTTTGAGGTAAAAGACTTTTTTGCACAAAAGAAAAATATACAATATCTACAATAGCTTTGGAACTACAGCAGAAATACTTGAGTTTGTAGGAAAAAAATCCAGAATATCCTTAAGTTACCTCAGTATTACAGAGTATATTTTTCAAATACATATAATTCTAAAATATACTCATTTTTTTCTAATTTTTATGCAGTATAAGTAATGTGTTGGAAGGGAAATTTTATCATGTGGCTCAAATGACTCATTTCAAATTTGAAATACCATCAGTAATTTCTCATCAAGAGCAAAAAAGTGGAATTAAAATCAGGAAATC